AAGGCCGTGGTTCCCAAAGGGTTTTCTACAGCGCCCCCTGTCTGCAGCCCAGTATCCGGACTGCTTCAGATTTATTCTCACAGAAATCAGACAAAACCCGACATTTCTAATGGGTGTCAGTTTCTTCAGATAGTCGTACCTAAAGAAGGGCCCGCCCCTCATTTTAGACTCAATGATTGTTTGGAAAACTGTGAAATTTATAATTGATCAGTTACATTGATTATGTTTTCCAATATCCCAGAGTAAACCAAACCATTATTTTCGTATTCTACAGTACTATGCGTACTACTTTGTCTGTAATACTTTTCCTTACGTACTGTCTACTCCCACCCCCCCTCCCCTCCCCCCTTTAAAGATGCAGTATTAGCTGCACCAGAACTTCCTTAAATATTTATCGAGTGACTTCCACATCGTCGCTGACAACATTCCTGAGAGACTGAGGTTGTCATGTTGGAGCGCTGGTGTCGTGACACGTGAAAAGTCCCGACTGTACGAGGTCACGGGATTGGTACGTTTGTCAGTACCAGTATTTGAACGGGCGGCCGTCGATACTGCCGTCGGTTTCAGGACTTCTCCAGTTATTTTTTTTTATAATCAGACCCGTGATGTCATCCAAGCTGATCCAAGCTGTCATGGGGGGGGATTGGGGGGGAGTGGTTGTCCAATGTTATTATTTGTTGTTTATTTTGGACTCAGAAATTCAACAGTGATTATCAACTGGTGGACTGCGGGCCAAAAACGGCCCACCGAACCATCCAATCTAGGCCACGGGCCGCCAGTTGATCATCACTGCGTCAGACCATCAGAGCATTGAGCGTCCAGACGGTGGTGGAGGGGGCGGAGGTTTGGCTCCGTGGTGTGAACCCGTTCACCCGAGTCTTGAACCAAACCTTTTCTCCCTTTTTTCAGGTGCGTGAGGGTCAGAGGAGTTATTTCCGTCTCTGCTCTCATTTTGAATCCACGTCTCTTCAATTATAAATCGTTTCTTTTTTTTTTTTCTAGATCAGATCTTGTAAACACACAGTGACGGACCTGTGGGAATGTTTCAAGCATGAAAAGAACGTTTTCTCTTTTTTTATTTATTTATTTTCTAATTCTTTGAAGCAGAAGACGAGAGGAGGAGGTGGGTGAGGAGGACAGTGAGGAGGAGGAGAGTGAGGGGGTGGGTGAGGGTGAGGA